TTAGATAAAGTTCAAACTCAAAATTTTTTATTCTAAATAAAGGGTAATCAACTAGATACAAATTTTTGGGCATTCTGGGGATCCTAATCCTTTCCCACACGTAACTGACTTTCGAACCTATTTTATGGTTTTTATATACCCTAAAATTTGGTATTTTAATAAAAATAAAATGTTTTATTAAAATCACTCAGTTTTTATGGTGTCCCAATTGCACATTAAAATTATTGGTGTTGACTCCTCACATTTAAAAACCTTTTAAAAAACCCTAAGTTGTACCAAGTTTTTCCCTATCAGGGCGAAAAACGGTGTTGACAGCTTGGCGACTCTTGAGGGGACATATTGTTTTTTAAAAGATTTTCTCTCTAGTTAATGCTTATACTTCAGTAAATATTTAGGATTGTTGTATATCATAGCTCTAAACCTGAGCTCAATCCCGATTTATTTAAGTAAGGGGAAACGTCACACTTCATGGGGAATATTGGGTTTCCTCGTGTGGGTGTGACAAATTAACCCTAGAAAGCATCCTAAGTTGTCTGTCCGGATATCAGTTTCGAGGCACACTTTTAGCGGTGTGATCTCCTAGGCAAAATTCGATTTGAAAGTCTGTAATGAGCCAGAATCGAAGTCTACCTTAGTAGGTTGTAAAGGTGGCTTGGGAACCCTTTCCTATAACCCAGCCTCATGCATAGAATTTAGTAAACCTACACCGCTAGAGCCATATGGATAACTTAGGAGAACTAAAGCGCATGAAATTAGGAGTCTTAATTTCCTTTGAATGCTTTATTTTTTTGTCTTAGCTTTGAGTCGTATTTAATTATTTTTGCTAAGATTAATTTTATTTGTATAATCATTTCAACTAACTTGATTCTTTTTGTCTGGTTTCTCCTATCTTGATTTCCTTTCGTATTGTCTTGTTCTTTTTTTTTTTTGCATAAACATGACATATCATTCAGAGGTATTAATCCCTTAAATAACTGATCTTTTAGAAGGTTCTTGAAAAACAATGTCTTTCACTGGGTTAGTTAGAATTTCAAAGATTCTTTACATAGATTGAGTAGCGTCAAGAGATAGTCTATCTACTAAAGAAACAAGCCAAACGTCTGCCTCCTGAGGTAACAAGTTGGACTCAATATCATTCGATGCTGAAGCTAGCAGTTGAAGGTCACGAACCAGCTCAAAAATTTCTAAAAGTAGGAGAAGAAGTAGAAGCTTCGAAGGTTTTTCAATATCTGATGAAAGACGATGCAGTTCCCAAACTTTCGTAGGAGCTGGACAACTTGAAGGTAAACCAAATTTTCACTTCCCCACTTTACCTAGATATTGTCGGTTTCTCAATAATTTTTCAAGGAACTGTTACTTTTAGGAGCAATTCCTTTGTTGCATTTGCATCTCGTATTTTGCAATCCCATTTATTTATTTTTGCATTCATATGTACATTTTTGCATTCGCATCTATACATCATACATTGCATAATATACATTACATCTCAAATATACATAAAACACGGGTCTTGGGAGTAACCCATAAGAGAATCTCGTGATATAAGTTTTTAGGTAAATTGAAGTTACCCCATTCTTACTTAGAAAATGATTGAGAGCTAAGGACGTGATGTTAGCGCCGTCTGAAGTTTGAGGCACATCATTGAGATACTTGGGGCACCGATGAGCAAAGTCCAAATTTTGTTTGACTTAGGGGTATTTACCTTTAATGCGTAATGAGATATTTTGGTGCCAATTAAGAAGAAATTGTTCCATCCACTATAAAACCTTATTGCACTGATATTTTCCTGTTTGAATATGTTTGTGTTTTTCTTTATTTTCTTAAAATAGTTTGATGGTTGAACTTATGTCATTTTCCAAGTTTATGAGCAATAAATCAAGTTTTAATCTTGTAATTCTTTGAATATCGAATGAATTAAAGGTTCTTTTACTACTTCAATAATTATAGATATTTGGAAAGTGGCTAGATTAGACCTTTCGTATCTCATCCAAAGAAAAAAGTACAATCACTTGATTCTTTACCTTGACATTACCTGTATTTGAGACTCCAAAGCCATACACTTACCTTTTTCGAGACACATAATTCATACTTTTACCTTATCAGGTATAACCGATCTTTTTATAACACTACCTTTCTCCATATATACTATAAAACTCATTTCCCGTATACATTTCGATACACGAGTCACATATGCCACATAACTTTTGAAGTAATTTTTTTCTTTGTTTTAAATCGTAAGATATGTTAATTTAATAATAAAATATTCATTAAACTTTAGTATGTAACCAAAACTTAAAGTTCAAACATTTTATCTTTTTTACATCATCATAAGTCAAATATATTTCAGAGCATTATCATAATTCTATTACATGCCAACTAATAATATCAAAAGTAGATATACCCGTCGTACAGTTACTGATGAGGCAACTCTTGATTTGCGATGTCAGTTGCACTCCTTACTCTGATCGCTATGACCTACGCGTGAAATCAACACACGCTAAATAGTTACTTAGTGAGACAATACTAATAATGAGGTGAAATCAAATTTTAAGTCTGTAATAGTTATCAAAATACAAATTAATTATTGAATCTCAGTATATGTTTCATGGGTGCACAATTAGTGTTGATACGGTCGTTCATAAACTTATTATGAATTTCGTGAGTTAAACACTTAGTGTCGATACGGTCTTTCATAAATTTATTATTAATTCCGTGGGTTACACACTTAGTGTCGATACAGTCGTTCATAAACTTATTATTAATTTCGTGGGTTGCATAATTAGTGTCGATACGGTCGTTCATAAACTTATTATGAATTCCGTGGGTTGCACACTTAATGCTGATAGTACACATAATGCTGATATAAAAATGCAACATATGCATTTAATAACATGCACCTATTATTCTAAATGTACATAATAAATGCACTCACATGATTTGCCTCATTATTATGCACAGAAGTAGTCCGACTATTATGTGACTTTATCCTTGTCTTTTTGTTTGCTTGACTCGAGAGCTTGGTTACGATCTACATAAGCATCCATTATTACACATACCATACAAATGTTAGTGTACTCTCTAACATTAGGAGTATCACTTACAGGAACAATCTTCCCACCCTTGTCATGGATGAGGCTAGCAGCACAGGAACCAACGTTTCCGAAACCCCTAAATGGAATTTCTGATACCTTTCAAGTGTATCTGTGTCGGAATTTAAATTTGTTTGGCATCGAACGTGCACATGTATTACTAATTTTTTGTCCAGAGATGGCCTTTACATGGTCATTAAGAAGGGCCTATGTGGCAAAGATGACTCCTCTGACGGTAGCTGCATCTCTGCCAAGTGATAACAACTTGAATCAGAAAGAGAAGTTACGAAGTCAATGCCCTATCTTAATTTGGATATACTTTCAGTCGATTTTCCGGTCACTACAACAGGTGAATAGCCATGGAATTTGGAGTAATCATCTAATATCCATGCCATTGTCTGTTTAACCAAGAGAAACATACCATCATTGATTTCAAAATTCACTTTTTGATCGCTAAAACCAACTAGGTAGAATGAAAACTGAGAGGAATGGCATATTTGAAGCATATGTATGTTGCACCTGTGGACTAGCACTCATATCAGGTGCTGGAAAATCTGTGTGAACCCCAATCGGGCCATTGTTCTTCTGGGTGAAAACTCAAAGGACCACCATGGCTCCAAGAGCTCAAAGGACTGTTCTCCTTTCAGAGCTCATCGAAGAAGGCATTGCATGATGGATAGCTCCAACATGAGTCTATAACCATTCGCAACTGCCATGAATGCCAATCCGATTCCGTTATTACTACTCTTTGGCTCGACCAGGACAATCTTCATCATGTAGGAAGAATAATGGATAACTGGAGATAAGAATAGCAGAAGACAATGTATAATTTCAGTTGCAAAAGTGATCCAACCCTAACATGAAAATTTCCGAATACTAACCTCACCCTCTGCATATAAACTCTAGTATCCCATGACCGAATGTTATGCGACATGGTTTCTGATCATATACCTGTCGTTGAAAGTGGGACAAGGTTCCATTGACTCTAAGTTCGCTGCAATTTGAGCCCCACATCCATCTACAACGTTGTTTAGATTACTAATGGTGTTTTACCAACCAACTGTTCATTTCAAACCAAACACGATTATCAATGAAAGCAAATGTTTTGTTAAATTAAATACAAATAAAAATCCATTAAAGATGAAAATCAACTTACTTCAGTGGCATCTTTAGCAATGGAATTCTAATCTGACCATTCGAAAGAGATTCGATGTCTGATATCTAACTTAGTTAATATGACCATTCGAAATCGAGTCATGTCGATTTACAACCATTTTTTATCAGTGAGATAAAGAAGCAAGGAAACGGATTCTAATCTGTTTAGGAGTCTCATACATTCCTTGTAAATCTGTTTAGGAGTTTCATTCAGCCTCACCAGTCACCAGGGAAATGGAGAATTATGATGAACCACTTATCCCATATCGATGAACAAAGAGGAATAACCACGAGTTGGGGCTAATAAATAAGAGACACCTAGCTATATTGCAACATACTTACCTGGACGGGGTCAATGGGTAATCATCAATATCCATGGCCTAGGCTAGTGACCTCCATTGCACTTTGGAGGGGTGCTCGCCTAAGGTCTCCCCCAAGTGGGAGAGCCTACGTCATAATTTGTGGTAGTGGGGGCTTGCGTTCGCGCAGCCCCCGTTCAATTTTAGTTTCAGTAGTTAACCTTGTATCTGGTACTTTTTTTTTATTATCTTCGAAGTTTTTAGTCATGTATGTCTTTAGCTTATTGTTCGCCTTGTCATACCAGAAGATGCCTTGAATGTTCTTAAGCAGAAAAAATAGCTTCAGAACCGTTAGGTTTTCCTCCTTAATGCAGGTGAATGGCCATGGAATTTTAGTACTCATCTAATACCACCGATCCATTTATTTCGAAATACACTTTTCTAACTCTAGAACCAATTAGGTAGAAGGTAAATTGATAGGAATGATATATTTGAAGCATATATTGGAGACTGCAGTCTTCCATGTCATTAGTTGTGCTAAAGCATTCACTTCATCTGGCTCAACCTATACACAGATTATTTCAAGGATGATCGAAATCCATAGTTAATAAAGATGACAGATCTTTTACTTTCACTCTTTCAAGCTTGTTGCAGATGACTGCAGAGAGCCAAACGAAAACGACCTCAGGGGTGATATCCGATCCTACATTTATGGGCCTTGTAGCATTGTCATGCTGAATCCCGAACCCATCAAAAGTTGCCAAATTGCTCCGTATGGTGCATTCGACCTGCAAAATATGTTCGAAATCAAGAGTATCTGCAGATTAGAGTAGAGTAAATCCACCAGAGACCAGCACTGCTAGATAAACGAGTAGTTGATTTCAAGAGGAATATCTAAACAATCTTTAAGAAAATGAGACAAACGGAGAAACAAGGAGAGATTTGACCACCTTAATTTCCCTGAAAGGGATGAGCGAACTTTTTTCAAGCTTAGAGTCCAAATCAAGAAGGTTGGTTGCTCGCTGCTAAAGCATGCATTGTTTGTTCAGTTTATATAAATTATATCAAAAGTTCAATAACATCAATATAGTCCCTTTGATTTATGTCATCATGCATTAAGATCTGAATAGCTGGAAATCTTATCTGCATCTTAGTACTGACTCATAGCACAATCATTGGGGGGGGGGTTAGTAAGAAAGATTAAGAAGCAATTAAGCAAATATAAAGATTTAATAAATTGTACTTGTAACTTTGCTGCAATTCGAGCCACAAATCCATCTACAACTTTGTTTAGATTACTAATGGTGTTTTACCAATCAACTGTTCATTTCAAACCAAACAAGATTATCAATGACAGCAATTGTTTTCTTAAACTAAACCAAGTAAAAATCCATCAAAGAAGATGAGAAACAGCTTACTTCAATGGCATCTTTGGCAATGAAATTCTAATCTGACCATTCGAAAGAGAGTCCATGTTTGATATCTAACTTAGTTCATATGACTATTCGAAAGAGAGTCATGTCGATTTAAAACCATTTTTGATCGGTGAGATATAAAACAGATTATAATCTGTTTATGAGTTTCATATACTCTTTAGCTTCATTCAGCCTCAGCAGTCACCAGGGAAGTTTAGAATAATGATGAAGCACTAATCCCATATCGAGTAAGACAGAGGAAGAACCACAAGCTGGGGATTATAAATAAGAGGCACATAGCCATATTGCAACATACTTACCTGGACGGGGTCGATGGATGATCAACAAGATCTATGGCCTAGGCTAGTGTCCTCCATTGCACTTAGGAGGGGTTCTCGCCTAAGGTCTCCCCAAGTGGGACAGCCTACGTCATAATTTCTAGAAGTGGGGACCTGCGTTCGCGCAGCCCCTGTCCAACTTTAGTTTCAACATTTTTGAATTTTCTAGCCATTTATTTCTATAGCTTACTGCTCTCCTTATTATACCAGAAGTTGCCATGTTGCTTCAGAATCGTAATTGACATAATAATTGGCCTGTAAAGGCCTGTAATATTCATGCCATTGTATGTTTAACCAAGAAAAATTACCTTCATCGATTTCGAAATCTGCTTTTCGAACGCTAGGACCAGCTCTGTAGAAGGAAGACTGATAGGAATGTGTTGACGAAAACGGGTAAAGAAAATGAAAGAACACGAGAATTTTACGAGGTTCGGCAATGTGCTTACGTCCTCGGTGCCTAGGCGGCGCTAGAATTTTATTCAATGATATTTTAGGTCTAAGTTACATCTCTATTTATAATAGAAAACCCTGGTACATAATTACAAAATTAACCCTGTACCGTACCGCGGGGGCTACGCCCCCGCACCCCCAACCCACATAATTCGTAACCCCACAACGAGACTTTTTATGAGCCATACATAACAAATCTCCACCTTGGCGAATATCCTGCCCCTTGGAAACTTCAATGTGGGTTGGGTTACCTTGCTTCTTTAACAACTCGAAACATTCAACAAGTCCAAGCAATGCTTGAACTTGTCTGTCGTAACTGGCTTGGTGAACATATCAGCGGCATTCTCATCAGTATGTACCTTCTGAAACAAAACCTCTCCAGATGCAACCAACTCTCTGATCTTGTGGAACCTTACATCAATATGTTTAGTTCTAGCACGATACACCTGATTCTTAGCCAAGTGAATAGCACTTTGATTATCACAAAGCAACTGAACTCCACCTTGTTGAACACCCAACTCCTTCACTAAACCAGTAAGCCATAAAGCTTCTTTTGCAGCTTCAGCCGCTGCCATGTATTCAGCTTCAGTTGTAGATAGTGCCACGACAGATTGAACAGTAGACTTCCAGCAATTAGGCCCTCCACCAAGAGTAAACACATACCCTGTCGTAGATCTTCTATTATCCAAGTCACCTGCATAATCTGAATCCACATATCCTACAACCAAAGGATTATCCCGTTGACTCCCAAAAACAATTCCATGTCCCACAGTACCCTTTAAGTACCGAAAGATCCACTTGACTGCATCCCAATGTTGCTTACCAGGTTTAGACATGTACTTACAAACTTGACTAACAGCATGAGCTAAATCAGGACGAGTACATACCATCGCATACATCAAGCAGCCAACAACATTAGAATACGGAACCTTTGCCATATTTTCAGCTTCCTTATCTGTCTTAGGGCACTGTTCTGATGAGAGCTTAAAGTGATTCGCCAATGGAGTGCTAACTGGTTTCGCGCTGCTCATCGCAAACCTTTCTAGCATTTTCTCAACATAACCCCGTTGAGATAGCCGCAGTTTCCTTGAGTCTCTGTCCCTGCAAATTTCCATTCCAAGAATTTTCTTTGCAGCACCTAAATCTTTCATATCAAATTCCCGACTCAATAAAGTTTTCAAACCGATAACATCATCCATGTTCTTCGCAGCAATCAACATATCATCAACATACAGTAATAGAAAAATAAAAGAACCATCATCAAGGCTCTTAACATAGACACAACAATCATACTCACATCGATTGTAGCCAATCTTGATCATATAGGAGTCAAACCGTTTATACCACTGTCTCGGAGACTGTTTTAACCCGTACAAAGATTTCTTCAATCTGCAAACTAAATGCTCGTTTCCAGGTTGAGTGAAACCTTCAGGTTGCCGCATGTAGATCTGCTCCTCTAAATCACCATGCAAAAAAGCAGTTTTAACATCCATCTGCTCTAAATGCAAATCCCAACTAGCCACCAATGCAAGTACTGCTCGGATTGAAGTGTGCCTGACCACACGAGAAAAGATTTCATCATAATCAACTCCTTTCTGCTGTGAAAAACCCTTCGCTACCAAACGAGCCTTGAACTTCTCCCCCTCTTTTTCTGTTACTGCTGGTTTCTTCTTATACACCCATTTGCAACCAATCGGCTTCTTACCCTCAGGAAGGGGAACTAACTCCCATGTGCGATTGTGATTCAAAGACTCCATCTCCTCAACCATGGCTGCCATCCACTTGTCGTTTTCCTGACTAGTAACGGCATCATGAAAAGTAACTGGATCATCACTGCTAACAGTAAGTGCAAAAGATACCAAGTCTTCAAAACCCAATCTGTTCGGAGGCTTTATATTCATCCGTCTCACCCTGTCTCTGGCGAGACTATAATCCTGCAAATCATCCGTAGTGGAACCACCAGAAGTCGGTTGAGAAGTTTCTGGTTTCTCAACTGGAAACTGCTCGAAATCTACCACTGTCGTGTCTTGCTTCTGCTGCAACATAGACTGTTCATCAAAAACGACATCTCTACTAATCACAACTTTCTTCGCAACTGGATCCCAGAACTTGAATCCTTTGACACCTTTCTTGTAACCCAGAAAAATGCACTCCTTCGATTTTGCATCAAGTTTGGATCTCTCATCAGCAGGTACATGCACATAAGTAGGACAACCAAAAATCCTTGGCGATCTGTTGATAAGGTAACACGCCATGTTAACAGCCTCAGCCCAGAAGTGTTTGGGAAGCCCCGCATTCAACCGCAAACATCTGGCTCTTTCATTCAACGACCTGTTCATTCGTTCCGCAACACCATTCTGTTGTGGTGTCTTGCGCACTGTAAAATGCCTCTGAATCCCATGCTCCTTACAGAATTGTAGGAACTGTGAATTTGTGTACTCTGTACCATTGTCAGACCGCAAACACTTGATTTTTCATCCTGTTTGGTTTTCTACCTCAGCTTTCCACAGCTTGAACTTCTCAAAAACTTCAGATTTCTGTTTCAAAAAATACACCCAAACTTTCCGTGAAAAATCATCAATAAAAGTAACATAGTACCTAGATCCACCCAAAGACGATGTCGTGGAAGGCCCCCATACATCAGAATGCACATAATCAAGAATCCCTTGAGTTGTGTGCTTCGTAGTCTTGAAACAGACTTTAGTCTGTTTACCAAGAACACAATACTTGCAAAAATCGAGCTTACAGCTTTTGACACCATGCAACAAGTTTCTCTTGTGTAATTCTGCCATACCACGTTCACTAAGATGAGCAAGGCGCATATGCCACAATTTTGTCGTATCATCACAGGACTCAACAGAGTGAACTCCACCTGCAACGGTACTCTCTAACAATCTGTAGATATTCCCTGCAGTCATCTTGCCTTTCATCACAGTCAATGCTCCTTTAACAATCCGAATGGTTTCCCTATCCTCGTCAGCCTTAGGGATAAAACCATTCTTGTGCAAAGTGCCCAAGGAAATCAAATTCTTCTTCAAGTCTGGGATATGTCAAACACCACTCAACGTCCGAACGGAGCCATCGTGCATCTTAATTCTGACATCACCAATACCAACAATATTGCAACATCGATCACCACCCAAATAAACCGAACCAGAATTAACCGGCCTGTATGTCGAAAATCATTCCCTATTTGGCGTGATGTGATAAGAACATCCAGAATCAAGAATCCAAGCATCCGTCAATTGTGTCGTTGAAATAGAAAGCATATCACCCTCACTGCAATCAGAAGTATCATCCTCGACCACGTTCACAGACTTGGATGAGCCATCACGCTTCTCATCAGTCTGCTTTTTCAACTTCGGACAGTCTCGCTTCATATGTCCCGCCTCCTTGCACTTGTAACAGTGAATCGTCTTCTTATCCCTGAATTTGGATCTGGAATTCCGCTTCCCAGACCCTGCCTTCTCTGGCTTCCGTCCACGATATCGATTACCCTTGACATATAAGCTATCGGCTTGAGAGCTTTCCCCTGCATTCTGCTTTCGCTGGTTGTGAGCCAACAAGGCTGCAGTAATCTCCTCAACGTTGATAGTCTCTTTCCCATATGTAAGAGTAGTCACCATGTGTTCGTAAGAGGAAGGTAACGAACACAACAGAATCATCGCTATGTCTTCATCCTCAATTTTCACATCAAGCCGAGCCAGATCAGAAACGATTTGATTGAAGACATTCACGTGTTGCGCCAAATCGTGATCGTCCTGCATCTTCAGCCCATACAGCCGCTGCTTCAGATACAGTTTTGTCGTTAAGGATTTGGACATAAACTGACTTTCCAACTTCCTCCAAATTTCGTCTGGAGACGATAGATGCATGACGTGATACATGACCTCGTCCGCCAAGCATAATCGTATGGTTCCTGCCGCTCGCTGCTGCAATTCTTCCCAATCTTCCTCATCCATCGACGCCGGCTTTGTAGGTCGCAAAGCCTTCAAGATCCCTTGCTGCGCCAATAGATCCTTCACCCTCGTTTGCCATAATCCGAAGTTACCCTGACCATCGAATTTCGCGACTTCGAATTTTGCTCCTGACATCTGATACCAATTGTTGACGAAAACGGGTAAAGAAAATGAAAGAACACGAGAATTTTACGAGGTTCGGCAATGTGCTTACGTCCTCGGTGCCTAGGCGGCGCTAGAATTTTATTCAATGATATTTTAGGTCTAAGTTACATCTCTATTTATAATAGAAAACCCTGGTACATAATTACAAAATTAACCCTGTACCGTACCGCGGGGGCTACGCCCCCGCACCCCCAACCCACATAATTCGTAACCCCACAACGAGACTTTTAATGAGCCATACATAACAGAATGACATATTTGAAGCATATATATGTTGCACCTGTGGACTTGTACTCATATCAGGTGCTGGAACATCTGTGTGAATCCCAATCAGGTCATGTATCTTCTTGGAGAAAACTCGAGAAAGCCGTTCTAGCACGGATATACTAACTCTACCGGATCACATCCTATCCCCCCCTTTAGCACCATCGTATTATTGGATATCGGCGACTGCAGTCTTCCATGTCATTAGGTATGCTAAAAGCATTCAGTTGATCTGGCTCAACGGCGACTGCAGTCTTCCATGTCATTAGGTGTGCTAAAGCATTCACTTGATATGGCTCAACCAATACACAGATTATTCGGAGGATGATCAAAATCCATAGTAAATAAAGATAACATATCTTTTTTACTCTAACTCTTTCAAGCATGTTGCAGAAGACTGCAAAGAGCAAAACGAAAATGACCTCCGGGTGATATCTGATTCCTCCTTTCATGAGTCCTGTTGCATTGTCATATTA